TCTCTCTCTCTCTCTCTCTCTCTCTCGCTCCCTCTCTCTCTCTCTCTCTAGAGTGCAAGGTCTAAACTCTGTGATTCCTCAAACAGTATATTTATGAGACACATATCTCTCTCTAGAGCGCTGAAGTCTTATTCTTCACTGAATAAAACATAACTACATGAAATATAACTAAACATCGACGTGTGACCGCCCCACCCCCGCGCGCATGCGCACATGGCAATTAATCCAGACTATAGCTCGCATTTAGCGCGGGATAGCGTGTACTACACACTGCGAAAAAATAGCGCGCGCCTAGCACGGACTAGTTTGACGTAGTATCAAATTTGCAGTCTCTACGGGGTATAGATGATTTTATGTCGGAACAGTGTTTCTGGTCGGGAGCGCTATCTACATCCTAGTCTCCGTGCTCAGAGTCCTGAGGCCGTCTTCCATCCGTACTGGTCTATAGCAGGATGCCGTAGTAACTGTGTTTACCTGTATCCGCCAGTGATTTTCTATAGCTGTGAGCATTGAACGTCTTACGGTTGTATGATGAAGATTCCTCGTGGTTTAGATATGAATAAAACCAATATTATAGTCACAGCCAAGATAATTGCATTTGCTATCGGCAGCTCACAGCATCCAATTATCGATGATATCTCGATCTCGCACGCGGCTCAAGATAAACAAAGATATGAAAATAATAATAATTATTATAATAAATCTCCATAACTAAAACCGTCTAATAAAATTACGACGAATCGCCGACAGTACGTGTCTCCCATATTTGCTCGAACGCGTGACGAATATAATTATCTTTGTAGGCTCGTAGAAGTATTTACTCGCGACAAAAAGCATCTTGTGCGCTTGCAGAACACAGATAAAGAAGCCACGAGGAAGTGTTTGAATGTAGCATGGCGGCGCCTCTCTATCACGTATCGTCTGCTTGCTAAAGGCCGCCGCACACCAGCCGATTTTACAAACGATGAAGCGATGAAGCGATGAAGCGATGAAGCGATGAAGCGATGTAGGTGTGCGGCGGCCTTTAACGCTACGGCATCTCGCGTCTTAAAGCGCAGCACCGCCGCCATGAGTCATCGCAACAGTCTCTGTGCGGATGAATTCGAAACTGCTGATATACCAATTAAACGCCCGTACGGACCGACGCAGCCATACTCTCACGATGCTAAATCACGCCCCCCAAGTCCCAGAGTATGTAATTATCAACAAAAGCTAATAATATAATGTATTGTTAGTTGTATTATAGCTGTATTATTAGCTGTATTATAACCTGTATTATTAGTTGTATTA